CTTCCCGCTGCCCAGCCGCCCCCCCACTTCAAACGATTCACCTCCGCTCTACGACCACTTCCTCACACGTTCACCTCCCCTCACGGAGGTAGCGGGACTCTCCCTCCCACATCTCCGACGACGTTCACCCTCCCTCACGAATGGTAGGGGACCTCTGCCTGCTCACGTCTCGAACGAAATCACGACTACCCGCTCGACGATCGGTAGGGGACTCTCCCTCCGTCACTCTCACACGTTCACGCCTCCCTCATGAACATGGTAGACGGACGCTACCCGCCACTCCTCCGCAGTCCGTGTTGCACCTCCCTCAACGACGGTAGCAGCCCCACATGTTAACTATGGTTAGGGTACCGTGCAGCATAGATTTTTATGTAATAAATTGTTATCAAGTAAGACCTGTGGCTTTATAATAGGAGAGCGCCAGCTAAAGCCTGTAGGTGCAAATACTAAATACTTTCATCCGCGTGGTTCGCGCAGTCGGCCTCCCCCCGCCTCCGCCCTTTGTCCCTCGGGCTTAGCCCTTCTTCAGTGCTCCACACCCTTGTCTCTCTCTCCGTCTCGTCATCGTCGTCGTCCAGTCTCTTTCGGCTCAGTCTCGTCTCTCTCGTCTCTCTCAGCAAGCTATATTATGCAATTTTCTTCAGTCCGTACTGCAAGGAGAGGAAATATTCGTCGTATTATCTAGGCATGAACAGTTATATGCTGCATATGGGTAAAAAGGAGATGAAACAAATACAACAAGATAATCAGATGGCTTCATAAATGCTTGTGTTTATTTCAATAGGCAGGCTTGGTCGAAACACATACAACACGACACGTAACAAGCGACACAAACAAGTGAGCAGTAGTATCTGCGGCCGGGGCCGCGAATTTTTTTTTTTCCTACACGTTATATCCATCGGGCCTCCTAGCTGATTGGCTGCTTTTGTATTTGACGCACCAACATAGATAGTGTTTTGGATACGATAGATAGTATATAAGCCGATTAGTTTGTGTATAGTTTAGTTAGTATAGCTTGTTAGAGTATTGTGTATATAGTTATATATATACTATGTTATATAGTTGTTTTTATAGTTTGGTTAGTAATAGTAGTTTTTTTATAGTTAGTGTTGGTTTTCGGGGTTAGGGTTTAGGATTAGGGTTAGGGTTGGGGTTAGGATTAGGGTTAGGGTTAGGGTTGGGGTTAGGATTGTTAGGGTTAGGGTTGGGGTTAGGATTAGGGTTGGGTTAGGATTAGGGTTAGGGTTAGGGTTAGAATTTTTGGCAATCATTCCTTGATATACGGAAATTAAGTATGATGGCGGAAGGCTGATATGCGTATATCAAGCCATAAGATAATCAAGGCCCAATGGATATAACGTGTAGGAAAAAAAAAATTCGCGACCGGGGGGCGCCGGCTTAACGCTTGGACATGTGCGCCGAAGCGTGCCGGAGGACGGTCGCCACGGCAACCGTCGTCGCGCCACTACGACTCTCCCTCTCACATCTCCGGCTTCTCCCGCCGCAGACTTCTTGCTCTCCTGCTGTGATCCTTCCTTCTGCTTCTTCTGCTTCTTCGTCACAGCCTCGTCTATTGGAGCCGGCTTCACGAAGGGGATGACCTCGTCATAGCCTGCAGGAAAGATAGATCGAGAGAGAGTGATGAGAGAGGGGAGAGAGAGAGCAAGCGATTAGAGGGAGATGAGAGAGGGAAGGGGAGAGAGATATGAGGAAGTGAGAGAGAGAGGGGGGAGAGTGATGAAAGAAAAAGAGAGAGAAGAGAAGGAAAGAGAGATAAGAGAGTGAAGGGCAGCTCACAGAGGGAGAGAGAGAGAGAGAGAGAGAGAGAGAGAGAGAGAGGAGAGAGAGAGAGAGAGAGAGAGAGAGGGAGAGATAGAAATGAGAGAGAGAGAAGAGAGAGAGAGAGAGAGAAAGAAAGAGAGAGAGAGAGAGAAAGAGAGAGAGAGAAAGAAAGCGAGAGAGAGAGATTTTTATACAAACCTTCAATTGACAGTTTGTGTTCGTCCAAGTGTACACAACTTATCGTAACACAAAGATGAGCTGTGATGGGTCAGGTAGGCACGCATGCGCATACGCATCCTATATCATGTATTTCGCACACGTCAGGAATTTTCGCGCGACACCCGGCACCCACTGGAGATAGTGCAGTGTACGACTAGTCGTACTTAGCTAGCGAGGTAAGCAGGGGCGTAGATAGCGGGGGGGGGGGGGGGGGGGGATACAGGCACAGATAGAGTACGAAGTGGAGAAAAGCCATAGAAGTCGAATTTTTTTTTTAAATATTGGGGGAGGTCCCCCAAACCCCACATAAATGGCCTTCGGCAGCTTTTTAAAACACCAGAAAAAGTAAGCAGGAAAAAGTGCCCTTTATTTCTTTCTGAACACCCCCTTTCCAAAAATCCTGGATCCGCCCCTGTGGTGACAGCACATTATGTAATAGGTGGAGCTGTGGTAATCCTTTTCTGGGATATATACCACCAACACATGTCATGTGCTCTTTCTCTCCCTTAAAGTACAGCCACCTAGCACTATCCGGTCAAGCTCTCCACTAGCTGTCTATCGCTTGAAACTATCTGATGCAATTTTATGCAACTTTGCCGGTGTATCAGAAGTTAAATTTACATTAAATTAAACAAGTATGGTGCTGGACATCGAGTTATTTCGTGCCGAGAAAGGAGGAGACCCAGCCAAGATAAGGGAAAATCAAGCTAAACGATTTGATGACGTGACACTTGTAGACAAGGTCTTGGATGCAGACGCCACATGGCGAAAATGTAATGTATTCGCGGTGTAGCCTGTAGTCGTAGACGTAGGCATTAAGTTATTGCGCAAGCAAACATGTACATTTAAAACTAAAAACGCAATGAATACTATATATCTTGTGCCTGTAACTTATCCCTTTTAGGTCTTCTTTCTTCTTCTTCTTTGTCGTAGTCTCATGCGGATGATCCACGCTGAGACGTCAGCTAAGGGCTGACCTCCCTGTTGATGATTCTACTCCACTTTCCTCGATCGGCCGCATCGTTCTCCGTTACTCCCAGCCTTCTCATCTCCGCCTCCACTCCATCCCGCTATCTAATTCTTTGTCGCCCTCTCGTCCTTCTTCCGCTCATCCACTTATCCCTTTCAGGTGGTCTCAACGACACATCTGCGTTGCTATATGTACCATATCGTGGTCTCCCTATTGGTCTATAGATAGTAATCGTTTCTCTATATTTGCACTTGTAGTGAGATTCCAGACAGATCTGTGGAACCGGTTAAAGAATCTTTGCAGCAAGACGATAGGTGATAAGATGAAGGTAATACTATAATCACGTGAACGCTACTGTGAGCCCATTGACCGTCAATGATTGACGTTATGTTTAGATACAGTCGATGTTAAAACGCCCGTGGCATCCGCTACAATAGATGCAATAATTTAACCGAACACGAGAGTAGGGTGTAATTCAGTACACCCACCCATCTTGTGTTGGGTGCAATAATGTATCTACCGTTATACTACACTACTGGAAGCTTTCTACCATTAATAAATATGACAATTAGACGTGCGTATATTGTGTCAAATATGCATGAAACTGGCTGGTTGGTACCGAGGTGCATATTTCGCCATGAATACTATGCAAATTTCTGGATGTGTGTAGCAGTGTAGGCCCCTATGTTGGTGATGCTAGAATGTTAGGCAAATCTTTTGCGTTTCACACATGTAATTTGACTTTGTATTATCTCTTGGCACAGAAACAAAAACCAGTTGGAGACAGTGATTTGCTACCTAACGACTTGGAGGCTAACCTCGAAAGCTTGACAACAGAGACACTTCAGGTGGGGTTTCTCTATCTATCTATTATAGCCCCCCCCCCCTTTCTATCTCTCCCTCAAGTTCCCTCTCTTCTCCTAACCACATATGGCTTCTCTCTATCTTTTTCTCGCAGGCCCTCACCGTCACGCAGATCAAGAAGCTGCATCAGCTCTCTTTCTTTCTTTCTCTCTGTCTCTCTCTCTCTCTCTCTCGTCTCTCTCTCTCTCCTCTCTCTCTCTCTCCTCTCTCTCTTTCGTCTCTCACTCTCTCTCTCTCTCTTTCTCTCTCTCTCTCTCTTATCTCTTCTCTCTCTCGCTTTTTCTCTCTCTCTTCCTCTCTTCTCACTCTCTCTGCCTCTGACACGCTCTCTATCGTAACCCGCGCTGAGGCCCCTTCTCTCTATATTTCTCTCGGCAGACCGCCCTTCACCATCACGCAGCATACAAGCACAGCCTGCCCGCCATCTCTCCATCGCGCTCCGCTGGTCGAGCCG